GGACCACCTTCACATTTGTGTGTGATTAAACACAAATCATCCACGCGCGAAATCCAGATCTTTTTCTTATCCGTGGTCCAGCGTATTCTTGTCTCCTCGCTCCACACAGTCTGACGCATAATCGAGTCTCCCCACAATTACGAATATCATTGGTGATAATAGACAACATTGTCTTACTCCTTTATTCACTTCGAAGATAATATATATCATCTGTAATTCATTTCTGTTATAAGTGTTGCCACTGAGTTACTTATTGTCTTTGTTCTGATATTCAACAACAAATCTAAATACGAGTACATTGTAGCGTCACCTGCTATCGATGAAGTAAATGCTTTCAGAATTACCACTGATTCTAGAGTAAAAGTCTGAACTTTGATTATGAACCAAATTGTAGTTCTAATCGTAACCAGTATATTAAACAGCTTCACATATGCCAACTTGTTAAATCAAATCAAGTCAAATTCAAATCTAGTTATCGATTCTAAAAAACGTATGAACAAACAATTACATTCCATGAAGATAGCTAAAAAGAAGCAGGATGTTTGAGAGAAGGATAAGTTTTTATGAATTTGTCGCAAATTCTTAAAGGGCTTTAATTCAATCCGCTGAATACAGAGCAGAACAGCCCATCATGAGGAAGGATGAACAATATTTATGCGAGAAGCTCAACGCTTGACTGTTATGATGCAACAATGAGGAGGTAAAAACAACGCTTATCAAAAGGTGTAGTCACTTTTAGTGTATTGGTGGCACAGAGGTTAGGACGCTTGTCGACCATGCACATGGTCCGGGGTTCGATCCCCTGTCACTGACGCACTCCTTTACCTCGCTAAGCCAGTAATAGAACTGACAAAGAGGAAAGGTTGAGCATGAGGCTAGCAACCCCATCCTGTAAAAATAATCACCACTGCTACAGAAACTTCAAGCCTCTACCTTGAGTCTCAGTCTCAGTCTGTTTTCGACATAGAACTTTGCACTAATGTGCGGCAGTTCAAGTCGCCACACTCCTTCTTTGTAGCACACAAAGCAAGAGAAGAAAGTAGGAGAAATGCATAATATAGACAGTAAACAAAGGTGTGATACAAAGGAGTAGTAATAACGAAGAACGAACAGTTTCATCGGAAATCATAAGTCACAAGGAGTGGATGTATCTGCACCATTACTGAGAACGATTTTGAGCCATGTCACCAATTGTTTCCAACCATTGGTTTTTACCGTCCCGAGGACCCCAACCAGGAAGTCTACATCTCCCTACGTGACTTAGACTAACTGTTGTGGATTTCATTGACTGGTGCCAAGTTTTCGTTTGACCGCCGCTAGCTCTTTTCCAGCCTGACCAATCCTATATCAGCTAACATTGGCCATTGTCGAGGAAGGCGATGACTAGGCATACGTAACACATGTCCCAACCATCTCAGTCGATGTAATTTCACAGTCTCATCGATTGATTTCCCCGCCTTGCCTAGCACTCGACGCCTAACCTCAATATTGCTCACCTTATTATACCATTTCACGCGGGAGATGGAACGCAGACACCTATGATCGAAGACAGCTAATCTTTTCATGTCTTCTGCTCTCAATGGCCAGGTCTCGCAGCCATAAAGGAGGACGAAGCGGACTGTTGAGCAGTACACACGCCCTTTGGTCGATAGTCGGATATCACGTCTACGCCACAGACGGCGAAAACTGGCGAATGCGAACCTAGCCCTCTGTATTCGTGCTGAGATTTCCTCGGAGATCAACCCGTTGGGGCTGATGGTACTTCCCAAGTAAGTGAAGCGGTCAAAGTGCTCTACCACTTCACTTCCTATTTCTAATCTAGGGGTCGGTGAAGTCCAATCCTGCACCATCATCTTACATTTTACAGGGGCGAATCGCATGTCAAACATACGAAGATTGTTGCTCAAGGTGTTCAGTAGACTCTGCATTTTGTCAGAGTCCTCGCCTAGAAGGACTATATCGTCCGCATATTCTAAGTCAACGAGATTCTTCCCTGGTAGCAAGTCAATTCCTGAGTCGCTGAAGTGAGTTAGGGTTAAGTCCATTAGTACATCTATGATGAAGTTGAATAGGAATAGGGATAATGGGCATCCTTGACGGACGCCACTAGTCGTCACCACTTCAGATGACAACTCGCCATAAGCCCTCACCTGGCTGCATGAGTACGAGTAGAGTGCCTTAATCAGTGCAATGTATTTTCTTGGCATTCTCTTTACAGCCAAGCATCGCCTGAGAACCTCCCGGTCGACAGAATCTAATGCCGCCTTTAGGTCAAGAAATATAATGATTGTCGGACGCCGGTAGGAATGCCTATGTTCTAGAATCTGTCGAAGGGTGAAGATATGATCAATACACCCTCTACCTGGCCTAAAACCTGCCTGGTTTTCTCGTGTTTGTGTCTCCCGAGCACCACTTAGTCTACGCAGTATTATTGAGTCTAGGATTTTGGATACTACATTAGTCAAGCTAATGCCTCTGTGATTATCACAAGAAGACTTGTCTCCCTTCTTGTATATCGGGATGATCAGTGACTTACACCAACCCGACGGGACTTCCTCTGATTCCCAGACGCTGCCTAGAACCTCAGTTAACGCAGACAGTAAACTGTCGCCTCCGTACTTAAATACCTCTGGAGTCAATAAATCAGGTCCCGCTGCTTTGCCTAGCCTCAGATTGGTGACAGCTTTAGTAACCTCGGTTAAGGACGGAGGACCTGTGTCTATCTCCCATTCAGGGAGGTGTTGGATGTCCGGCAGGCTAAGTGTGGATGTGGGCCAATTAAACTGCTCCTCGTAGTGTTCTTTCCAGCGCTCCAGACGTCTATCCTGGGAGCTAATTATTGTGCCATTTTTTTCAGAGATTGTTTCGCTTATCATTTGCCTTTTACCACCTGTTTCCCTGATAAGCCTGTGCGTCGGTGGCACAGTGGTTAGGACTCTCGCCGACCATGCACATGGTCCGGGGTTCGATACCCGCCGGCGCACACCCGATATCTATGGTCGGCCTGTAAATTTGGGCTACCGATATCCATGCTGAAAATTCCACACTTGTACTGAAAATACGGTGTGGAATCAAGCTGTAATCAAAATAAAAAAAAAAATAAAATAAAAATAAATAGTTGTCTGGTGTTGCCTATCGCCGATGCTTTTTCCATCTCTTTCGCCTTTGTCAACCACCACTGTTCACGGTCCTTGCGGAGACTTTTCGTAAGTTTCCTTTTGTGCAGCTTTCGCTCCTCATTGAATTCGGAGCTCGCCGGAATAAGTCTTCCAGCATCTATCAGTTCGGATAAGGCAGTCGAAATCCAATGGTTTTTACTCATCTTTGGATTTACCTTATTCACAGCTTTTACAGCTGTATCTATGGCTGATTGAATATTCTTCCAGGCTTCTTCAGGGTGAGCGCAGCTGTCGAATTTAGATATGTGTTTAGCTAGTTCTTCCTCAAATAGGGACTTAGTTTGCTGATCGAGCTGGGGACGTGATGGTTTTACCTCCAGCTGTTTCCCCTCTACCTTGAAGACCTATTTTCCACTGGGAACGTTACGGAATACAAAAAATATGTGAAAAGGGAAAAATGCTAGACTTCTTTTACATTTTACTATTTCATCAATACACTTAAACTTTCCCATCGATGACGTATTTTCAGGTAGTACTGAAGTATGTGTCTGTGTGCAGTGCTCATATAACATTTACCACCAGTATAAAATCTTTTCAGCAATGAGTACAATAGACGACTTATTCTGTTATAATATAGAAATATTATTTGAATCTTATTTAGTGTGTTTAGGCAGCATAGAATTAAAATGCAGCTTTATAAGATTACCACAAGACTATGTCTGAACTGATATTAGACATCAGTTCAAAAAAATAACAGTCCATCTGAGAAGTTATGTGAGTGTTGATGGTGATGTGATGCAAAGTGTTTTTAACTGCATAACAAAAGTAAAAACAATATTGACTAATCCTTATTTGGTTTTAGGTTAATTTGCCTCCCTTGTTGACTGATTATGTTACCTCGAAGTGATCCGTCTCAGTTGACATGTCACCTGCTAGTACAGAGGCTTCAACGATGTCTCAGGATTAACGTGATGTTATTTTGGTTGATAGTGGAGTCCAGGATGAGCATTTCTTCATGTCTGGAACTCGTCATTTGCATTTCCCTGTACTAGAACCATCACTCACTAGGGATGCAGGCATATCCGACTGAAGAATTCCTCCTCAGTAAGACGAAATGTGCCTTCTGGACTCCATGACTAGACACTGACAACAAAAATAACATTATTTATTTTATTTTATTTCATTCCTGTGCGTTCTGAGCGTGAGTATACGGCTTCAAGTTTAAACTTTGAAGTTCCACTAGTAGTGTGGTGAGAGCTGGCTGCTAGCCAAAGTTGGTAGACAGTAATTTACGTCAATGTTTATGTCCCCAATATTACTCGTGAGAAAAATGAGAACAAAGACTTTGCGTAGGTGGATACAGTTAGCATACAAATGATCTGACATTCAAGAAACAGCCACAAAGAAATGAAAGATTAACTTTCAGTGAGAAACAACCAATCAGAGGACTGTGTTTGTTTGCTTAAATAATCTATATTAATATACATGAAAATCTATAAATATGTGTTGATTTCCTTAATAAACTATCCGTTGCCTGGCCCTTGTCTTCTGTTGTTACAGTAGTAGTAGTGTTTTTTATACGTTGGAGTTGCTAGCCTCACGCCCAACCTTACATCTTTACCGGCTAAGTGAGGTTTAGGAGTGCGTCGGCTGGAGGGTGGGCTCGAACCACAGACCACTGGCATAGTTGGCGAGTGTTCTACCAGTGAACACATGAAATAACATTAACTAATCTTAATCATATTTAATACATTATCACAGCCTTAGCCCAATGACTGTAAAAGCCATCCAGATGAAGAACTGTAAGTGGAGGTAACAAATGTAAGAGACAACAGAATAATAACAATAATAATAATAACAGTAGTAATAATGGAACTGTACCTTGAACAGCTTTTAGAACATCATTCTTCGCTTTGACCAAATATAATGTAACCGTAAGAAATAGAAATCCACCGAGTGCACAGACAAATGTATCTAAAAATAATGCTCGTTGTAAGCCTAAATATTGTGTTTCTAGCGAGTAGACATCTGTGATAGCTACTGCAATCTGAAATAAGAAAATTTTTAAAGGTGATTAGTTTTATCATATGCCTTATTAGATTTTAATAAATATAACCAAAAAACAAAAACAGCTAAAGTAATAGAAATAAACAATGATAATGAATGTTTGGTATAAAAACAGCAGAACGGACGCTGACGACTAATTGAAATCCTCGCCATGTTTACTAGTGTGTGTATCATTCGGTTTAACTCCTCTCAGTTGGCTAGTAAACACAAAATATGACAATAATAATAATAATGAAGCATGTGATACTTTATAGCTTATAATTTATTATCATTTGTCATTCTTATCTAAGGTTTAAACACTTGCAAAATAAAAATAGACTTCATTACTGACGAGAAAGTCAGACTACTGTTCATACAAAACAAATATAGGATATCATCAGTATTTACGAGTTTGACCACGGATTGATATAAGTTAGAGAACCAGCGGTTAGGACGCTCGCCGACTATGCACATGGTCCGGGGATCGATCCCCGGCCGACGCACTCCTTTACCTCGCTAAGCCAGTAATAGAACTGGCAAAGAGGGAAGGTTGGGTTTGAGGACAGCAACTCCATCCCGTAAAACTAAACTCTGCTACAGAAACTTCAAGCCTCTAGCCTGAAGCCCTATGTTCCACTGGGAATGTGAAGGAATAAAAAAAGAGAACCATTGAAAACCAGCACTGGAGTACTGGACAGCTGTTTCACCCTAGTTTTGGGAATCATCGGCAGTACGCACCCACCACCAGGGGTCGAACCCAGTACCTTCCCGTTACAAGGCAATCTAGCTCTTATGCCATTCAGCCACTGGGACCCAATTCAACGGCCAGCACATGAATTCTAACTTCTACAACTTCGTGATATCAATCCCTGATCAAACTCGAAAAGTAAACCTAATCCTTACAAATCGATTCTTGAGAATTAATCTGTTGCTCGCTAGTGATTTGCTACAGGATACAGTTCCCTGGAGTTCTGTTGGGATGTCGTGACCAGCGAGGTCCATCCAGTCAAGTGTGAGGATCGATTTCCCACAGATGATATTGGTTCGCGGTCGTGCTTAAATCACGAATAGGCAGAATTTAGAATTCATGGGCTGGCCATTGAATGGAGTCCCAGTGGCTGAATGGTGTACAAGGTTGCCTTGTAACCGGAGGGTCCTGGGTTCGACCACTGGCAGTGGGTGCGTACTGCCGATGATTCCCAAAACTAGGATGAAACAGCTGTCCAGTACTCCAGTGCTGGTTTTCAATGGTTCTCTAACTGATATCAATCCGTGGTCAAACTCGTAAACACAAATCTAATCCTTACAAACCAACTCTTGAATATTATCAGTATCTTATAGAGATTTTTATATTACGGATTTTTGTAAGGATTTAGATGAATTTCATTGTAGATTTCGTCACGAACTACTACATCATCAGTTAGAGATCATTGAAAAGGTGTAATGAGAAGTCGTGGGTCGGCCAGTGGGGTCCATTATGTTAAGGTGTAGTAGATATGCATCAAATGCGTGTTGGTTGAGGGTAGAATTTACAGGTCATTGAATTCCGGCCCAAGTGGTTGAATGGTCAGCGAGCTTGTTCTCATAACCTGAAGGTTCCAGATTCCATCTCCAGTTGGGGGTTGTGAGAGAGAGCGCTGCTGAAAAGTCCCAAACTAGGACGAAACAGCTATCTAGTACTCTCTGGTTTTCAATGATTCTCTAATTGATGTTGATTCATGATGAAATCTACGTTGATAATATGCAGATTCATTACAGAATACATATAAAGAGATTAATCAATCAGAAAGCGATAAAAGACGCTATTTCTAATGCCTACTAACTATGAACTGTACTAATAAACTGATTACACTGCCAATGTTGTGGACCTATAAGAAAAACGTAAACTGAACAACACTTTCATGCATTCTCCAGTGTAACTGATAATGCAAGTAAAAAGTCACCATTAAAGATCCATTTGTGAGAAATCAAACGTAAGGATATCTGTTGACCAACTAATTGGACTTATCTATGTTGTACGACTTCTAACGAAATTGCAATAGTTTAGGTTGTCACACTTCTGAAAAGGAGACATTAAACTAGAGAAAATTTATACAATGAAATCACAATGAACAAAAATTTACGGGAGGGGGAATTATTAGGTGAAGTTTGGTCAGCATTTTCAGAATTTTGTTGATAACAAGGAGTGAATGTATCTGCATCACTTCGATCGATTTTCAGCGAAAATATACATAATGGGTTACAGGATTTTATCCTGAGCTGACCTTGGTTAGAGAACCATTGGAAAACCTGTCTAGGAGTCCTGGACAGCTGTTTTGTCCGAGTTTGGGAGTCTCCATCAGTATGCATCCACCTGGGTTCGAACCGAGGATCTTCTGGTTCGTAGACCATTAAGCCACTGGGAACTGATCCAATGGCACATGAATTCTAACCTGTAACCAGAAGGTCCTGGTTTCGAACCCCGGTGGGTGCATACTACTGAAGAGTCCCAATCTGGGAAGAAACAGCTGTTTAGTACTCCCAGGTTTTCCAATGGTTCTCTAACCAATGTCAACTCATGATGATATGTTTTTGCTTAACCACCGATAACTCTTTCCCAAGTCCCCATAAACGACTTGCTACAACCAAGAGTCGGTAGACCTACGTCTTCCTCGAGGAACGCTCTTATGTGGCTTCTACCAGGTAAATCCCATCCACTGCCTTCATGTGGTGGGAGTGTCTTTCACAAAAGTGAAAGGGTGAATTCGAACATCTGGCAGCTGTACCTAGGGGAGCTGGAAATCTCTGATACCAAAACTGTGGTGTATATGAGATCCAGAATTCGAAATGATAGAATGGAACATGAACACGGGCGGGGGTGATTCCTTAAAACAACCACCTTTCTTGGTCTGGGCGTACGGACAGAATCTCAGTCCTTGCACAAATTATGGAATTTTCTACAGTACATCTCTTGGTGCCCACAATGTACCAAGTTTGTATAATAATGATAACAACAATAATAATGGTGATAGCATTAATTTCGTACAACCGGATCCCTCTATTAGTTGGAATAAAGAAAGAGCAACGAACATATTTGCAGGATAATACAAGCTAGTTTTATTTCGTGGATTCTCTTCGACTGCATTTACAATGGACCATGAACGTGACACTCAGTTCCACTCCCTAGATCTAAACATAAAAAGAAGAATTGATGGGACAATTGAAAAATCCATCTACAGGAAAGAAACTTGGACCGGCCGATACTGGAGTTATCACAGTTTCTGTCCGATCGGCTACAAATGTAGCCTGGTTAAAACGCTCTTCAGCAGAGCTAGGGCGTTGTGTACAAAAGACAAGATCGAAGAGGAACTTGGAGTCATCGAAAACGGATACTCTAGGAAGCTCATATCAAAATATGGGAGGGAAAAACCACCTAGACCGATATAGTTGAAAAGAAATCAATTTTTATCTGTCAAGCTTACAAAGGCGAAGAAGTATCCATAAGAACGGAAAACAGAATTAAAGGTGCATTGAAAAGAAAATTTCCCGACGCTAGACTCATTCCACTTTACAAAACAGTATGCTCGCTAACCCAGTCAAAAGTAGTTAAGTATCCTGCCCATGTCAACTCCCATTCCATTTACCAATTCACCTGCACTTGCGGCAGAAAGTACATAGGAAGGACTGAGAGGCGAGCATCTACTCAATTATCCCAGCATATCCCTAAAAGTCTCCGTTTGAAAGGCAGCAAAGTGTTCTCAAGTGCAGTTGCCAGACACCTAATTGACACGGGACATATAGTGGAAATTGGTCAGGCTTTCAAAATAATCAATATATACAAAGAAAAACGTGATTATTCCGGTTCTCAGAAGCCATTGTCATCAAAAGACTTCGATCCAACCTATGTGACTAATCTCTCACTACTTCGGCAGCCATAACTGTTTTGTTCGTGTGCTTTTATATTTTGTTCTGTTGTATAACATTCCACTCAATCTTGATTTTGATTTTCACCCACTGAGTTGAACTCACTATTAAGGTTTCAAATCTACTAAATTAAATTATTTTATCTATTTTATAATTTCACTTTACTATTCACGCCACCCACCCTCATGATATCTCCACCTTAATATATATAAATTCACTCTGTTTTTCTATCTTGCACTTTGTCTCTAATCCATCCTTGTTTCCAAAAGAAATGTGAATTCCATTCGCTTTGTCTAATAACTATATTAGAATAGTTACTCTTTTAACACTAAATAATCGTCTACTTACATCATCTTTGAAATTATGTTGCCTATACTTTCTATCTATAACTTGAAATCATTGTAAAAAGTATGTTCAGACACCATTTTGTAACATATAATTGATTTATTTAGGATGTAAGCAGTTGAAGAGAGAGAATCCACGAAATAAAACGAGCTCGTATTATCCTGCAAATATGTTCGTCGTTCTTTCTTTATTCAAAATAATAATAATAATAATGATAATAATTGAACGAGACATATGTCCATAATAGCCTCATGTTTAAGCTTCAAAGTTATGTTTTGTTTAAATGCATCAATCAGCATTCCAGCTATTGTTTAACCTTGAACAAAATGAAATAGTGTCTCTTTGATAAAGGTAGATATATGTATGGTTGACGAATAAGTAGAAAGAAAGACGAATAGAATAACATTACAGAGAAGAGATTAAGGCTAAAAATAAGTATTCAATAAGATTTACGGAAATATATAAGAAAAATATGTTGTAAAGATGTAATCATTGAAAATGAGAGAGCTTTTTCATTTGTACCGTAAACAATTGGTGCAAAATATCACAAAATACATAGACAGCACTGAAAAGGAAGTATCCTAACAACCACAGACTGATAACACAACATGATATGGTATTCACATCGTACATACAACAAAAATTTTACCACACTAAAAGATTTTAGAACATGGTTTAATGTATTTATTTCAATTTGGACCTTCGCGTGGATTGATGATTGGGCCGAAGTCTTCGGTCTCAAGGTTGACTACTCGGTTCCTTGTGAGGATGCTTTAACGACGTCTGAGAATTTAACTTGATGTAATTTGGTGGATGGTGACTAACAGTGGAGTCCAAGATGCACACATTTCATCTTATTCGGGACTCGTTAACTGAATGTACCCACATCCCTCAGTGAGTGATGGTGTTCCTCCACTGAGGCTCGAACCCAGTACCCATGGTTTCAAACGCCAAAGCGTTATCCCCAAGACAACTTGGATCACGAGAACCACTCTCTCTTGCGCAGCGGGTATCAGTCGTTATTTAATTCAATTTGGGCTTTCCCGTCGATTGATTGGACCTCAGTGGGAACACCATCACTTATTGCAGAATCCAAGCACATCCAGATGACGAGTCCCTAGTAGGACAAAATGCACATCCGGGGGTTCCACTATTAATTACCATCCACCTAATTACTTCATGGGTGAAAGTACTTCGCTTTCTATGGTATTAAGCCATAATACAGTGATCCAACCTTAGTTTTCAAGCTAAAGACACACATTCACTAGACACTTTGAATACTAATATAATCTCTTTGTGAGACAGCGAAGTATTAAGATGAACAACCCAGGTATGTTTTATGATGCTGCACACACCACTCACATCAACTAAAGTAGCGCTTGCTAGCCCCAGATCGAAAAGATTTAAACACCAAACAGCCGTTTGGGACTACCAAGTATAAAAACTCCACAATACCTTATCTGGCACAGCTGTTATGTGATGAGAAAACTGTTAGGCATGACATGATCAATTTACTGCGGCACTCTAACAAATAGTTCCCATTAACTTTTGTTCTCCTTTCTTTGTTACTATTATATTGTTGCTCATATATTCCATTACAGACTAATTTTATATATCATATCCTGTGGTGCATTGTTTAAATATGTGAATGCAATGCTGTTCTTTTTTTTCTATTTCTTTTATTTCTCTTTTTCTTTTTGTTGTTGTTGCTTTATATTTCTAAATCCTTACAAAATTTATGAGGTAATTAGATGCAATATTGTAATGAACGCTGAAAATTCCATACCTGTACCACAAATACTGTTTGGAATAAAGCCATTATTATTATTATTATTATTATTATTATTATTTTGAGCCAGTTTGGACTCAGCTCAGAGAGCCGAATTCTGGATAATCACATTGGTGAATATGATTTAGATACGTTTTATAGTTCTGCAATAAAGAGGTTTACACATTACTCACTATATGACCACTATCTGAAATACAGTTTTGTTCAAACAAGTGTGTAAATAGCGCAGTCTTAGCCCACTTGGTAGATACTGGACACCAGATAAAACCTGACCAGGCGTTCTCAGTTATTTACCGCGTTCCTAGTAATTTATCTAGAGGAGCTCGACTGCGTCTTCTATCAATAGCTGAAGCGGTTGCAATTAATAACGGAAGACCGCCTCTTTCAATACAGAATAAGTATGTTCAACCTCTATGTTTACCTTGGCCTACAATAAAGCCAACAAATCCTCCATTAACACTATAAATTCCTTTCACAATTTTCTTTCCTTTCCTTCTTCTTCTGTTCCTCTGTTTCATTGAAAAACGTTCATTTTCGACTTTTATGATTTTATGATTTCATGACCTTTCTTATGATTTTATTACCTTAGGTTTAAGTAGTGCTTTTCTAACTTGTTATCGTATTTACAAAATCCTGTTCATTCCACTTCATTATATTCATTATTATTATTTGACAATCATTCACCAATAGTGCATGTAATTTTACACCATATCATCGTTATTATTTTACAATCATTCTTACTGTCGTTATTTTCAACCTTGAACTTATGTCTAATCCGCCCCATTCGTTGGTTTATTTTCATATTGTCTCACACACCCTGATTACACACACTCTCGAAACCTGTATTTCTGTTGACTATATTTATATATATACACACACATCATTAAATTAAATTACTTCATCTCATTTTGTCCCATGTTCTCATTGACCATGCATATTAAAAACTAACTGACTATTGTTCCATCCCATCATATACTTGTTCCACAATACACTTTCTGATATGATTCTAATTTGCCTTTACTGGCTGGCTATTGTATGCTTAAATTAATGGATTTATAACTGTAGAGCCTGAAGAAGAATTTATTGAAACCACAATTGTTCGCTCTAAATATTTTGTTCAAGCAAAAATTAAAATAAGACAAAAGTGTTTAATGCTAATTTGAAAACAAAAAAAAAAGAAAACTTAAAATATAAAAAAAAACGCCTTCAACAAAAATAAACATCACTTACTCGACCAACAATAGCAGGACTAATAGCATCGCCTAATGCATGACTCATAATCATTTGAAGAGCAGAAGCTGAAGAACGACGAGTTGGAATTACAACACCCTAAGAAAAGACCAAAGATACATATATTATTCAGTAAGTTAGGGTGAACTGAGGTAAAAAAGTGTTAAGCGATAAAGCGTATGGTTAGTTCCATTAAAAATATTTCTTTAGATGTTTAAGTTTATAACATACAGCCCCTATGGCACATCTTTATTGCACTCAGTGCTCACGTGGCTCCACGACTTCAAATTCATGTCCCTATGCTCGGTTTTGTTTATAGGTTTATAGATCGACTGGTTTCCCGGAGTTTTTCATCAGCCAGTGTCATCCGTCTTCCAGCTGAGGAACAGCCGAAAATAAGTTCATTTTTCTCCGTAATTTGAGGTTTCCATAGCGATGAGGGTGTTTTCTTTTTTACGGGGTGAAGTTCCTAACCCCAGGAGAACCCTTCAACTTTTTCCAGATTTAGGACTGGATGAGGTTCCAGTATGTAAATATTTTGAATATTATGTTAATTAACAATCACATTCACTTGTTACAACTAGACACATCTACTGTAAAAAGGTTGCTAAGATCTAAATAGACGGAGTGCAATTCGAATCTCACAAGCCTATTGATTAACAACAAAATAATTAAGCTAATGAGATACAACTCTACGCTAATCTGAAAAACGACTTTAAGAAGTATTCTAGTTGTTATTGATTAGGGCTTAGTTACGTGAAACAGACATTTTATGTAACAGCCTTTGAGTTACATTTGTTGTGCGAGGGCTGGTGATACTAACCAGTTGCCAAGGCTTCTGTAGGTGGTGGTTGATAGGATCCCAAGCACATTGTTATAGATCAATTATTTCAAGGGCTGTTAATCTCGCATAAATGGTATATCATCATTTCCCACGCATTTTTTTATTGACTATTACGACCAATTATTTCAAATACTGTTAGCTGTCTGTATTGTTGTAAAAATGTATAAATACCATTTCCTAAATAAGTTTCTTTTTCGTAGTTGTTGTACTACAATATACAGTCACAGACCAGACTTTGTCTTTTGATATTTGCGTGGTTCGCTGAATCGGAAGGTACCAGAAGCAGATAGGCATATTAGTCAAGCGCAGATAGAATAAGGCGACAACATCCTCATTTAATTCCGCTACAGTTATAACAGTGGTGAGAGTCGAACCCAGGACCAATTGGCTAAATATCTTGTGCTTGAAACAACTAAGCCACATCTCTGATTACATCCTAATTACATTTAACTTATATATATATATATATATCAACAAATATACAGCAAAATATACCTATAAAAGGCAGCCATCCAATGAGTAATTAACTTACCATAGTCATATCCGTCACAAGTGCCCATGTGATGCATAAAAGAAACTCAACAATAAAAACTAAGACCTATAAAAACATAATAAAACAAAAAACAACATGAATTCAATATCACTAGTGGAAATAATTTGAACTATTGTAAATATATAATTTAATAATGTTATGTCCTCTTAGTATGTTCTTTTTAACAATTGATATAAATTTGTACAATAAAGATATTGACAAAATGCAGATCTTTTTGACACTTTGAGCAGCAATCTGCGAATATTTGGCATGTGATTCACCACGGTCAAGATGCGACAGGACTGGACTGGACTGTATCGACTCACTCCTCGCTTAAAGATAGGCAAGAGTGAAGTGGTGGTAGAGCGTGTTGACAACTTTATTTATTTGGGGAGTTGCATCAGCCAAAGCCAGCAGGTTAATCGCTGACGAAATCTCAGAACGGATACAGAAGGCTCGTTAATCATTTGCTGGCCAACTTACTCCATCTCTGGACATGATTTCCGACTGGCTGTCGACCAAAAGGGCGTGTTTACCTCTCAGCAGTTCTCTCTATCCTCAGGTATGGCTGAGACATGGCCATTGAAATTGGAAGACATGAAAAGGCTAGTTGTCTTTGATCATAGGTGCCTGCGTTCTATCTCCCGTGTGAAGTGGTATAATAAGGTAAGCAATATTGAGGTTAGGCGTCGAGTGCTAGCTAAGGAGGGGAAATCAATAGACGAGGTTGTGAAGCAGCTGCATCGATTGAGATGGTTAGGACATGTGTTACGCATGCTTGCCTAACCATCACCTTCCTTGACGAGTGATGTTAGCTGATGGTGGTGGTCAAACCAAAACATGGCTTCATCAGTCAATGAAATCCACAACAGTTAGTTTAAGCCAGCCACGTAGGCAGGTGTAGACTGGCTTCCGGGCTGGGGTCCTCGGGATGGTAAAAACCAATGGCTGGAGAGAATTGGTGATATGGCTGAAAATCGTTCCCAATGATGGCGCAGATACATCCACTCCTTGTGACTTATAATTTCCAATGAAACTATATTGTTCTCTCATATTACTATTCTTTTTCCTTCATATTTCCGTTTATTATCTCTCTTTACTCTTTTCTTGCTTTGTGTGCTACATGGAGTGTGGCGACCCGAACTGATGCATACCCGTGTAAATTTCTACGTTGAAACCAGCCAGCCAGTCAGTCAAAATATTAACTTATGCTTGTATAACCATTGGTTTCATAAAACTTCTACAATTTGCATTCTACACTTTATAAAATCAACGTGATCCTCAACAGTGCACTGAAAAATTTAAGCCTCACAGTTCTGAGGAAGATGACCGTCTCAAACAGTTACGGCATAATAAAGGACTAAATCACCTGGGGTCATTTTTTCAAAACCCTTCTTAATCACTAATGTTTTTCATTTCATTGCCTTCCGAGTGGAATATAGGGCTTTAGGCTTCTTTGAAATTTCAGCAGCAGTGACTATGTCTTTAAGGGGTGGGGTTGCTAGCCTCACACATTCAACCTTCCCTCTTCTCCGGGGTTACTATCGGCTAATAAACTAAGAGAAATTTAGGAGACTATCGGTAGTGGAATTGAACCCTGACGATGTGCATGGTTGGCAACCGCTCTACCATTGAACTACCAATGACGCTGGTCAGAGGCTGAGTTCAAATTTGTCCAACTGCAGCCCAGTCTGGTGTCGGACGCCCCAACTACCAGCATGATATATGTTTATTTTATTTCTTGATGTGCCGTTAAAACTTAGGAATTTATCCATTGGATAAAACGAAACAAAATTCTTTAAACTAGACTTCGTCACAAACAACAGACCATTGAAGACCTAAGAGTACTGAAGAATAATTTGCAGGGTTAGTCTTTTAGAAATCGTGTTCTATTTTCTTACTAATCAAGTCTTAAATAAACTTAAAATGAAGTTGGTCGGAGGATTGCATCATAAGTTGACATCGGTTAACGAACAATTGGAAAACCAGGGACTATTGGACAGCTGTTTCGTCCTAGTTTGGGACTCTTCAACTTAATGGTCTACGAGCTCGCTGGCTTTGCAACCAGAAGGTCCTGAGTTCGAACCCTGACTGTGGGTTCGCACAGATGAAGAGTCCCAAACTAGGACGAAACGGTTGTCCAGTACTCCCAGTTGGCTTTCCAATGGTTCTCTAACCGATATCAGCTCATGATGAAACCCTCCAACCAATCAAAAATTATCTCCACAAACCAATAATGAAAATACTATTGATTATAGATAAATACAAGACTACATAAAGTGTGAACTGAATACTTGATAAATAAAGTTTAGCATTTCTAAAAAGTCATGAATTATTAACACTGAAAAGGTTATAAGTCAAAGATTTCGTATGTTTGGCATGCGATTCGCCCCTGTGAAATGTAAGATGCTGCTACAGGACTGGACTACGTCAACTCCTAGCTTAGTGATAGCGAGTGAAGTGATAGAACATGTTGACCACTTCACCTATTTGGGAAGTTGTATCAGCACCAACGGATTGATTGGTGACGAAATCTCAGCACGGATCCAGAAAGCTCGGGCTGCTTTCGCTAACTTACACCGTCTCTGGCGTAGGCGTGACATCCGGCTGTCAACCAAGGGACGTGTATACTGCTCAGCAGTGCGCTCCGTCCTTCTCTATGGCTGTGAAACATGGCCAATACGAGTTGAAGACATGAAAAGGTTGTCTGTTTTTGACCACAGATTTTTACGATCTCTTTCTCGCGTTAGGTGGTATAATAAGGTAAGTAATGTTAACGTTAGGCGTAGTGTTGGGCAAAAAGGGGAAATCAATCGAAGAGGCTATGAAGTTATATAGATTGAGATGGTTAGGCCACGTGCTGCGCATGCCTAACCATCGCCTCCCCCGACGGACGGGCATTACTAGCTGATATAGGTAGGTGCAGGTTGGAAAAGAGTAAGTGGTGGCCAAACAAAAACATGGCATCAATCCATGAAATCCCTGACAGTTAAACTGAGTCAGGTAGGGAGATGCAGACTTCCGGGTTGGGGCCCTCGGGACTCTAAGAATCAATGGCTGGAGACAATAGGCGACATGGCTCAAAATCGTTGTCAATGCCTTACTCAGATGTATTCAGTCTCTTTAACCTTCATATTCCTTTCTACCATTACTCATTCTGTTTCACTCTTATACTTGTCAAGACTCTATTGATTCTCTTCACTCATTTTCTTGTCTACCTTTGTGTGCTATTTGGAACGTGGCAACTGGAACTGCTGCACTTCGGTGCCAAGTTCTATGTTGAATCCAGCATAAGTCAAAGATTGAAAAAGAGAAAATCATTATGTGACTATTGATCTAATAAGTGAGTTAATTACTACCTACATCTCTTTAGTTTCAAAATAAATCCATCAAGTGATGTTGCTCAGTGGAGAATATGCTCAACCTCAATCATTGTGGAAGTAAGATAAGTATCCCATGGGCACACAAATCCACAAAACAACCATGGTGCATGTCTTATAGATAGTTTTCGTCTGTAGTACTTTGACCAACATATTTTTAAGAGAAAATTGTCTGTTACATATCTTAAGATGTAAGAAAAAAAAGGTTATAACAATCTACAACTGGAATATATTAAACATGAAGTTATTATATTTCAAAGTAATCTTAATGAATAAATATCAACTTACAATGCAAGCATAAAAATTCCAAGATGAAGACAAGAGAGCAAAGAATAGGAATGGAGCACATATAAACAGACTAGCAGAACACACATAAGCATCTGCTGCAGGAAGCCAACGACGTAAATAACGACCTAATTGTGCCCCTGTAAGAACACCGATAATTCCAGCAAAACACGTTGTAGCCCCAACAACGATAGGAATACTTTGTAAAGGAAAATATACAACATTTTGTATTTATTTAGTTGTCAGATACATAATTAAGCATAATAATTATATAAGTACACATCAATACTTCTTGTATTTACTTCAAAAGAGTGAATGAGTCACTAAGTGCAAGGTTATATGCATTGTTCTATACACTGTTTTTAGTTCATGAGAACTAACAAGACTATTTAACTTCCTAAATCTCAACATGTGATATGGAACTCGGAAGCAACAAAAACATAAACATAAAGTGCGTGTGAGGTAATAAAAATCAGCTGCTAAAAATAAGTAAAACAGCTGGAAAGATGATCTGTCGAATGAAAAATCAACGTACATTAATTATGAACATATCACTAAATGATGGTGAAAGAATCACTGGGTAGACTATTTATCACCGTTTAGACGGATCACTGTGCATCTCGAAACTGGATTTACATAAATGTTAGAATACTGTAAACGTAGTATGCTAACAGTAATTTAACTAACATGATGCTGCAAATCACATTGTATCATAGCTGGTGAAAATGCACCTGTAAACGACCTGGTACAGCCTACGGTGGGTAGACCTCGGTCTTCCTCAAAAAGTGTTCTCATATGACCACGCCTCATAGCCTCTACCAGGTAAATCCGATTCACTGCCTTCACACAGTGGGGATGTTCCTTAAAATAGTGAAAGGGTAAATGCGAACGTCTGACAGGTCTTTCTAAGGGAGCTGGAAAACCCTGATTCCACACCTATGGTGTACATAGGCTCCAAAATCTGAAACTATGGAATGGCGTATGAACCCGTTTCGGTCGCCCGAGACCATGAGGGAACGGTGTTCCACTGTCTTGTGGATCAGGCTTCAAGTCAAAGGCTCACCGAGGGTCGTCCCTTAAGACAACCACCGCCTTTGATCTGGGCTTCCGGGCAGAATGTTATCCGATCCTTTTTGACGTTATTTTTATAAATAGACCTTTGTGTTTTATTTCTACAGACTTTACCATTTTTCTATCTTTACTTTCGTCATCCCTGCACCTTTCTTTGAAACCTCAATCTATCCGTGCCGTTTCAAGTTGTTATTGAGTAGCCTTCAAAATGCTGTTCTCCAGTGCGACATCTCACACGGATATCCTGAAACCATGTGTTACGTTTAAGCTTGCCACCTACAAAGTTTGCACATTGACGCAAGTAGGACAACAGGTAGATTTGACCAGAATAACAGAAAACCTCTCTGCCAAGGTGTGTTGCATTTTGGAGACTCGTATTCCAGATTCCAGTGAAGTACTTCCAATATCTTTTCCATCAGGAAATTCAAATGGTGTGTACCACCTGAACTTATCCAGGGGCCCCGTGGCGTCAGCACCGGGCTTAGCCGGTGTCGCACTAAGAACTAGAGCTGAAGCTGCGTTACTTGACTTGATCTCCATTAACAATCGTTTACGTACTGTGCTGTTGGTGACACTAAGCAGATGTTCACAACTTACTAAATGAGAATGAAGGGAAAAGTCTCCTTAATTTAGCTTTATACAGTAACCTATATATAGCCCACAAATGTCGATTTCCAGAATTTAAAACACTTATTTTCTAGGTGGAAGCATAAGTGCTCAAATGAAATCAAAATAAATACAATAGATAAAAATTTAACTTACTTATAACTCTTCCAAGCAGACGGATCATCGTGTTTAGCATTCAAGGCTGATTGAATCAGATCTATTGCGAACCATGAAAGTGAGCCCAAAATGAAACAAGCACATGTATATCCACTGCTTATAAACATAAAAGCTGGATTGAGAAACAGAGATTTTATATCCAACCACCATGAAGTAGTGCGCATAAATGAACCTCCTTCCGCTTCACCACGAGGTGGATCCGTGTGAAGAATACTCAAAAGAATGATGCATATTATACCAAATATTGGTGTAATCCGTAAAGACCATTGCCAAGATCCCGTTAAACGTGTTACTTCTGAACCCACAATAAACCCTAGCCCACTAAGAGTAATACAAACAAAGCACATAAAAATTATTTAAACAATATTCACGAAAATATTGAAATTGAAAAAAAACAAATAAATAGAATCAAATTACGTTTGGGACTATACCGTGCTGTCATAACGAGAAACAAATCTTTAAGTTTGATCAAACCTATGATATGATACAGCCAAGGTTTTAAATGCTAAGTTATTTCCACAGTCAATCTATCATACTATTCAAGAAAATATAGTAGGAATAACTAAGATACACTTTTTCAAACAAACCGAATTATCTGGTCAGATAGAGTAGAATTAAAATGCAGTGAAATCCCGAGTGATCACGCAAACACTGTAAGAATATAAGAGATTTAATAGCCTTTTAAGGTAAAAAGCGGAAGGAAAAGTATTGTTTATGTGGGCAGCAAAACAGAGAAAATCAGTGGTTGGAAACACTTAATGCGACGATACTCCAGAAGGCATAAATGCAAATAAGAGACATTACTACACAGCGGTACTTCAATTCTTACTGTAGCATATCTCCTTTAGTATACTTTCAAAGTCTTCACTGCCATCAATATTTTAAATATCCCATTCTTTCGCACTTTATTTAATAGCGCAAACTTCTTACTTATTTAGTATACCAGGTACTGGAGTGACTCGTCTCATTATATGTTGACAAAACAAAACATTTATGCAGTATGGAACTGCTGTTAACGACAAACACACTACATATCCATCTACAGACTGAGGACCTAGTTAGGCACATTAGGCAATTTCAGTTACGTTAACCCTCAGGAGTACTGGGACTTACTGATTAATCTCTAGGGTGTAAGCGAAGTCATTTATCTAGACTTAAATAGCTTTAGTTTTGACTGAATTCTGTCAGCATGGCTGCAACTTGCAACTGCTGTGCAATTTGAATCGATGTTAGATCTAGAGCTTCCTAATGATTTCCACAAACGATCTAACATTAATACGGAGATTTCCTGCTGAAACCAACACTTTCGTTAAAATTCAGCTGAAATATTTGCTATCAGCTTTAACAAATGCATTACTGTGATGGGTGCTTGTTACAAATCCAGTTTTACTAAATTAACTTGATAATAACTTCTTTGAAAGTGCTACAATACGAAACATACAACTACTATAATGATTCCTCTAGTGTTGATTCTTCACAATCTTCAGTCCTTTCAGACACTCATTGGAGATCTTTGTAAAAAAATAAAGACGACAAAGTAACTGATGTTTGAAATAGAGACAATTGTATGTAGAAGTGATATGCTGCTCAAATTCTTCTTTACAAGGTAGGCAGATTGCTCAAAAAGAAGCCGATATTTGAAGCATGAATCCACTACGAAAACCACAGGGGGATTATCGTGCTGCCTGTATAAATCTGGTTGGCATTACACACCATTGGCTTTGGAAAACAGGGAAAATTAAAAAATTTATCTCAGGTACATGAAATAAAATTCCAGAGTTAAAACTAACACAGAACAAACCAAGTTTCCGCCAAACTGTAAACGTACTGTTAATATATATCCGCGCTCTACAAAATGTCTGCATACTACCATGAACACTGCACACCAACAATCATGTTATTTACCAGTATTATGCTTGAATTCTTTTTACTGGGCTAAACTGAAACTTGCGAATGCCAAATATTATTTTATTGATGTGATTTTTGGATTTGAACAAAAAAATTATGAGAGTCACGCCAGACAAAAAAGATTTCCTAGCGGTCCTACTATTGGTTTAGGTGAAAACACTAACTTGCTGCCATTCACCTTAGGGAATAGTGGGTGATACGAAGTTACAGTCTACCCTATTTCACTGCTGGAGACCGAAATACACAATTTCGAGAGGTACAACACATTTTAATTAGTGGAGTATTAGGAAACTAAAACTTTTCGAAAAACTTTCAGTAACATTACCGTACAGCTTGAATTCTTAGCTACATAGTGCATTTTTCAAACGTCTTTGGTAAACAATATCACAAAGTAGAAAATAAACAATCACCTTTAGGTTTCATTTAACAACAGACGTTCTTACTTAAAATACCAAGAGGGACACAGTTTCTTCTGCTGACACAAGGCAAACCATGCAAAATCATTATCTCGATCTCTACGAACGATTTTACGGTGTATGAGTGAAAAACAGTTATTCAAAGCTAAACAGTGTGAAGACAGTAACGTATGACCAGTGACTTATGTGGAACCGGTTGCAGAAAGTAATACTAGTCACCGCAGCATTAACAATTACGAAATCAAAAATTCGCAGTGTGATGTGTTAAGGGACTAACCTTACCTTCCAACGGGTGCTGCGAAATAGAAAAGACCCAAGACTTTAGTTCTCGTGTCTCCCACAAATAAATCTGCGAGAATTGTTGGGGCCAGAGTTGAGTAGCTAGCTTCCCCGACTCCAACGAAACAACGCGTGGCTAAAAACAAGCCGAAGCTCTGAGAAATATTAAGCAAAATTACACTACCTGCGATGGAACGAAAGAGCTTCCTAGTGTGACCACAACCCAAAGCGAAAGACCGATTTGCATTATACGCTTCCTTATCCAACGATCTCCGAGGTAGCCAGCTACTGGACTTAGAATTGTGTAGAACACAAAGAAAACCGTCTGTAATTGGCCTAGTTCAGAATCAGTGATTTTGTAGTAAGCTTTCACGCTCTCAGGAACTCCTACATTCAGAAAAAATATTTGGCTATCGTAACTGATTACTACCTGCTATGGTGAATCTGTCCATGTAATTCAAAACATTGATAAGAATTAAAATGCACACAGTGATTGTTTTACGTTTATAGGTAGACACACATTTGTTGTTAACATTAGAAGGGCATGAGTGCCCCGGAATAACACTGTCCTCAAGGTCACTCATGTGAAGGACAACACTTCGAATGAGTGGAGGCGTTAAGTTGTGAATCGTTGAAATAGAAAAACAAAGTATGACCATTTTCATGCATATATAAGTTATTTCTTAACTTGCTTACTTGCTTGCGTCCAGAAGATTGTTTTTCATCCATTTCTAAGCCCCATTAGTTTTTGGTACTCGGCACCATTAGTGGTATCTATCAGGGCCTAGATGACTTTATACACTTTCACTCCCATAGGGTGGAACGTATTTTGAACTAAGCTATTTCAGTCCACTCATTTGCCAGTATACTGACAGCACGTCGAACTGAAACCTGTCTCCCTTGCTGGATACATAATTCTGATTGACTGATTTAGGATTAATTACCTATAAGAGGTCAGTTTTCATCATTGCAACTGGAAGAGGAAGAAGGAAGAAACCTTGACTAGATGGTAAGAATTTTCGCTTATAGAATGATGCGGCATGCTTTTCAGATCAGTAGCTTGTTCTGAGAGGCGGAGATCAGATTTTCATATAGCAATGATCTAAAGAACTTTACATACCATGCTGAATGTGCCTTCGTGTATTGCATGCCATGAAGGTAGTCTGGGTAGCACAAATGTGTAAGTCGTTGACGCAGTAGAGGAGGCTATTTACGAAGGCGAGGTTGCAAATGTCAAACATGATGACATACCCTACAGACACGGTCAGAGCTGTCTGTGTGTACGAAAATCCACTAACGCCACTTTCGAACATGTTTTGTGCTATCCACCGTAAGTGGTTGTTCCTCAGGCTCTGTGGTCATGCAAATCTAGTGCCTTATGTCCTTTGTTTGCTATAGGAGTTCATAAACTTTCAAACTATAGCGATCGCGACATAGGAGCAATTTAAACACTTCCACTTGTCCACAAATTTGCTTATCTACGTACACTGTCTTTCTCTCACTAGTGATATTCATTTAAACCTGCGACCACCCCTAGTAACTCTGAGGAGAAGAACTAAGAAATGTCAGAACTCTGATACCTGTGAGTTTATAGCAGGACGCAAATCGAAGGCTTCTCAAACGTAGGACAGATGATAAGAACCTTTTGCGGAACATTTTCAAGGGCCTGTTGGCTGGTTCACAGATACACTATAAGTTAAAGCTACCCAAATCCCGCCACACGGTGATGCAGACTTTGGTCTGTAATTGTAGGTGCGCCTGATAAAACTATCTCCACTCTAAAACCTGACAAATTTTTGAGACATTATATGTGGTCTTCACTGTCAGTGAAAAGGCTGTTTTATACTACTGGGATTAACATTTATCAAGTGTATGTATAACCTCCGGCGAACATGTAAGGCATATCTTGCTACTGCCTGTAAATTGTGATTGAATTATATGGTTCTATTTCTGTAACAATTTGATGATGCCTGTAAACTGGCGTCCCTCATGTACTGTACTATGAGAATAAATTTATTTATTTATTATTTATGAAGAATTAGCTATCTTACAGGTTCCTCAGATGGATTCAGCGGATCATCCCAATTTACAAGGTAAAAAATAAATCATCCCGTGAAAGTTGCAGGGGGGCAAGTTTGACGGACAAATTATTTGGTATTCCACGTTTTATAGACCGTTAAGTTCTAAGAGGCACTTGAGAAAAACAGACTCTGGTATACATTGTGACCTTTGGTCTTAAAATAGAGTGTACTGATAATGTCTTCACCCTTCATTATACTCATGATGCTCAGGTATATTGGTGTCCAACACTTGTCTCATTTCTTGGCCTAAAGATAGCGTTTGGCTTTATTGATCGCGAGGTGAGTGAAAACACGTAGCCAAAAAGGGAGTACCGATAAAATATATTGTATCGGCCCACTTATTGTATTTCTCTGGCAGCCATCACACACCCAGTGAATAGAGGTCATATGAAGTAAAAGAAGCCGATATTGTACATCGAGGATGCCCAATGTCACTATTGATGGCGTATATTTTGATATCTCGGGTACTTACTTTTTAGGGAGGAGAATTCCGGCATTCCTTCCACGTGAATGGGATTACAAACACCGGAAATTTCCGAGCACTTGGAGTGAAAATCTTAATATGATTGGCATGCGAATCAAACCTATCAATGTGAAGTGATGTTGTGATATTTGTCTGCACAGACTATCAGTTTATAGGTAAGAAGTGTGAAGTAGACAAAAAGACAATTGGGGATCAAGTACACTACAGTAAACTACAAATTAGGGGTGGAACAAAGATGATCGTCAAAACACTTTTTCAGTCATAATAAGAGGGTCATCGAAGTTCACAAGAAGAAAAAGAGCTAGGTCGCTATTGATTACCTGCCACCTTTTTCGCTATCCGGGCACTACAAGCGGAATAGTTGAGCATGTTCACCATTCCACTTATCAGGGATGTGGCACAAGCTTTTATGAATGTTGCAATGACGACACCACAACATGGTCACAGAAGTCCCTTCTATTATTTACTAGCTATTGTTATCTTTCATGCCAGCATGATTGGAGATGGGTTGGGCTGAGAGAGACAGTAGAATGACACCACACACCAGGACAGACATCGAGTGGAGTCCCATTGAGAAACGACGGGTGGGCAGTTCCAAGGTGACATGGAAGAGATCAAGTGTGGAAGGGATAAGGGATTATGGGCAATGGCGGACCCAGTTGTAGAGGATAGAAGAAAATGGAACAATGTGGAGATGTGTTGTTGAAGCCCCGTGCTCCATTTGGAACCCAAAAGAGTAACAATAGTAACAGTATAATAATGCCAGCATGATGCATGACTGCCTATCAAATGATGTACTCACTAGACAGTAGTTAGCTTCTTCCTAATATACGAGGCAAAGGGAGCAAAAGCGTATGTTTATTAGCGTTCAGCTTCCCGTGTTTGGTGAAATAAGAGTGTTGGCTATAGTGAGCTCAAGAGCAGACTGTAATTTACAGAGGGAAAATCAATTGGTCTGACTTCGAAAGTACGTTGATTAAGATGACTGCGAAATACGTAACTTTCGTGGAATATTAACTTTTCGGCACCAGCTGTGGTGGCCGATATACAGTCGAGTTGGTAAAGAGCTACAGGTGATCACACCAAAATTTGGCACTAATCCATGTATATTCGATTGCCAGTTTGAGCTGTGTAACGTAGTACAGACTATCTGGCCGGAGCCGTCTAAGCACAAAGAGCTAAGTTTTTTATAACATCGGTAATATGGTCCAAAGTTGTTCTCATGTTCACGATGTTAGGCACCCGTTGCTGTCAGTTAAAATGAGGTAATGCCAACTAGTGATAGTTTAATTATTCTTCCTTCTACACATTTTTGCTCTCTCAGCTTTCAACGTATTATTTCTTACTTTTGTGTGTGCGTACAAGAAGTAGGGAAACTTGAGTTGATTCAGTCTGCACACAACTCGATGTTGGCAATTCATTTCATTTCGATTATAGTTAAAGTTCATCTATGTCACATTACGAAAATTCACATGATGGTTGAATTTGGTAGCTATAAAGAAAAACCATTAATTCCAAATCACCCAACCGAGTACACTAACCTCGTTGAATGGATCACTCCCCTCCTCGTAATAGCCACATAAACACCAATGTGCGAACAGCAGGCACCTCTGACATGGTTGAAAGGCCAGTTTCACCCGCATTTAGACATTGTAGCAGCAGTGCTATCCAGAAAAGCCGAATCATGAGGCTACTAAGAGAGGCAGTATTCAGCTATTTCCTCTAAAAACGTTCGGCGATGAGGGATTAAAGGCAAGTCATGGAACCTTAAGTCATGTAATTTTATTCTCTCCAATGTACAGTGGTGACCTACAAGAGCAGGAATAAATCTTTCGATGAATAACATCGTGTTGATTAGTGTGGCAGACATTATCCGCACACAGTACCATCATGCTGTGTAGACATTCATTCATAGGTGAGCCATCCTCACATTGGAAGCAGACCATATCCCACTTCCCCCTTACACAACAATGATTGGGAGGTCTTCGCACATAATAATAGTCAGTCAGATAAACACCCAGACAGACACTCGACCAATAAGCATCCACCTCCACGGTCACTTTGAAGTTCTGGGACTGGAAACCGGTACCTGTTAGCGAGGCAAGCCCACAGTCTCCAGTGATGAAGTTAGTCGTCCTTGTAGACGGAGCTGAGTGAACCTGGGGCATTCGTACTACTCTAGATTCCTTGCCTTCTCACACTATAAAAATCAGCTCAACAAGTCTGCTCACATTAGAGCTCAGCTCCGCTTATGGATGGAACATAGTGTTCCATTACTGGTACGAGTCTGAGAGAAAAGGCAGTGAGAATATAAGATGCTGTGGGAGTCCAGAATATATCGTAGTGAAACGGTGAACCAAAGCTGTCGTGTTCTTCTATGCGTCAGCGTAAACTCATGCCATTATGTCAGAACATTCGTGAGTGCCTCACATAGCCCATGTAAAACCACAAAATTCCTTAAAAGATTTATTAGACCTGTAGCAGTAGGTAATTCCACGAAATCATTGGCCACAGCATTCATCAATGAACATTGGATGCTTACCGCTACTGTTTAAGACTTACGGTCATGTATCCACGCCATTTGGCAAGCCGTTGTGTTAAGTTCGTTCGTTAATGCACGATCCCTAGCTAGTTAAACTATCACCTTGCACTCCGCTTTGGTCCCGAAATATAATTCATAATTTGGCCGATCAACTCCGTTGTTATGCTTCTTCTTTGTTCTACGCGGAACGAATACAATTGGAGTTGCGGGTATTACATCTTGCGTTAGTATACTTCGTACTACCCGTGAACGTCAACACCTTCAGCCTCTAAGACCTCTTAGGAGTAGTGCAGAGGCGACAAATAGGTTTGAGGGCCTTTGAAATGAATGGTATAAGATAAAATTTGTGAAAATATTCACGCAGACATTAAAAAACTTGTGAAATCTGGGTTCAGTTACACTCAGATATTACCGATCTTGGAGTGAAATCCGGGACTACTCACGGAGGATCCCTCATAATTGGTGAAAAGCTCTATAGCATTTAATTACGATTTCCCCGCC